TAAGAAAGTGTTTGGGATCACACGTTAAAAGGTAAGACCCCCGTCATTCCTTGCTCGCACAAGTATCTTGAAGACTTCTGAGGATTGCTCGTAAGGGGGCAACCGAATGATGGATAAGAACAATTTTAGAACAATTTTTAGGCGACCCATAAAAACAAGGTTCAAAGAACACCTAGAACATTTGAAATATGTTCAAGGATAATGGACCTATTCTATTTAGCCCTCTGTATAGTTTAGTGATATAAGATCAAAATGAACATGTGAACTCAACCATGACAAACATCAACTTGGCGGTTAGTATCTTTCACGGTTTGGTGGACATATACCTAGTATATTAGAAGTACACTAGAACAGCATATTCAGTTTTGATCTTTTCCTGAAGATGCTAACATAGTTAGCGAAACACGTGTCGGAGCGTTTAAAAAATCGGTTTTACAGTGTAGTGGATTATTCATGTGAAATAAAATGCTGATGAAAAGAATATATCAGAAATAATTTCTTTCCAGATCACGGTAGGACTTCAACTTCTCGAGTTGGTCACCTGAAAACAAATGCAATTGAAATCGATCCACGAGATAATAAATTTACCTGACCCGGCCTGCCAAGTCATACAGTATAGGAAAAAAACGGAGGGTTCTTTGCCACCAACCATTCAGCAGAAGATGCTCATCTTCAGTCAGCACTAGCATTATTGAAATCATTTGCTGAAAGTGCCAAGAAATGCTTAATTCAAACATATTGTACCCGAGAAACAAAAACATAATCAACTCCTGCGTTGAGAGAATCCAAAACTTTATGAAGCTAATCTTTATCTCTCAGTTTTCCACATGGCGATAAGAAATTAAGGATGGAAGAGTTACTATCGTTTTTTCCTGTATAACGATCAAGCCATCATCAAGCATTCGATAAGACCGAGTCATGACAGTCATGACTAAACTTCGAAAGGAAATGAGATTCCCCCGGTATATTGATCCATATTTAGTGACAGTTCATGATCACGAACGAATATATTGTATGAGGACTGTTTTGTTTTCGCAATAAGTGGGTCACAGAATGAAAATAATAATAACGGTTGCAAGCACTCAATAAGTTAGGCTAAAATTAGAAGACGACAAAATGTGCGTGAAACGTTTTATTTCCTTCGCCCTGATTTACTTGATAGAACTTGCACGCAAGTGAAAAAAATATACGTTTTTCTGAATCCACTATTATGACTATTCCACTCCAATTCTCGAGAACCAATCAGAACCGACCACTTTCACGGGTTCTCCTGTATTACAGCGATATTTTTGTTTACTAAAAATTGTCGAATTCGCTCTACCAATACAGAATTATTATTCAATTTTGACGGCACGGATTTTTGTATAATCATTTATTGTCCAAGGCAATTATGAAATAGTCAGTCTTAGGAATACAACTCGTGTAACTGAAAATACAATGAGATCAATTCTAACTCAAACAAAGCCGAAATATGAAGAACAATCGTCAAAAAATTGTATTTACAGTATACCTTGTGTTTGTGGAAAGTTTTATACAGGTGAAACCAACAGACCTCTTTCAGTAAGGACGAAGGAACATAAGTACAATATGAAGAAAAGACACATCGATAAATCGAAACTAGCTGAACATATCCTTACTGAAAACGAACATATGGCAGAGTGGAATAATATTAAAATCATTGGAAAAGAAGATAACCAGGAAAGAAAAATCAAGGAATCTGCTTGCATACTTCTGAACGGAGACAAAAGCGTTGCTTCTTGTTCAGTTGATATAGACAGAACATGGTATTCACTACTAAAATCTGAATATAAAAATGGTAAATTCAAGATTAATTAATGAAAACATCCTGTAACTCATTTGATTGCCAACGTCACCAATTGTCAATGAAAACTGAAAAGCTTCAAGACAGATTCGACTTCGCTATTAAAATAATCTTTTCTTATGTTGAAAACGGGAGCAGAATTGGTCCCGAAACGTCCAAAGATAAGTGAAAATTTGATATTTTTCTATATACTTTTATTTCTGCTCTCCAAACTTTTTTTAATACAAATTGTCACTGACAAGCTAGTGAATTTGTCTTTTAGGCTCTCTGATAGGAAAATTCTTTAAACGCAGTGACATTTTGGGGCAAATCATCTGATTTGTCCTTACTACACGTATATTGAAATAATATCCATAATTTTATTTTATAGAAACGAGGAGAGAAAATCCCAGAAAATTTGGAATAATTAATCCTTTTTTTTATTAATTTGTTATCAATATACTTTAATTTCCATAAACTTTTGTTGTTTCATCTTCTCGTTTCTATAAATGAAAATATGGGTATTATTTCAAGGTATTTGTAGTGGAAAGGATCCAGAAATCTAGAAGATAAACCTCTTGCTAATAGTCAGTTACATCTTGTTTCTTGTTTCGCCTTACTACAAATATAATGAAATGTATTTCCATTCTGAGAAACGTCTGGCTCTTCTTATTGTTCTTATTTTCAGATTATTTTATATCAATTACATCAAAATGAGAACATGAACCTGAATAATACATACTTTTTTCTTACATTATGAAAACATTGCAGACCACTAGCTTTCCTTCCAAAGTTCAAAAACCTATTTTTTCCTCATAACCTACATAAAAAAATTCGAATTCCATTAGAGCTAAATTTTCGAGAATATCGATCAATATCGAATATGTTGACTCAAACAACGCATTTCTGTATTATACGAACTTCAAGCTGAACTTTCAAGAAAATCATTCGGTAAACACTATGCTGACATGAACAAAGCATTTTTTTGTGGCTTGGGAAAGTTAACAAGGTCTTTATAACTCATAACCAAAATCATAACATCACCTTCATAAGAGTTAAACTTCCGACTGTATCGATCGATATCGACTTTATTGACGCAAACGAAGCATTTCTGTACCATACGATCTACATTGAAGCTAAACTTTCAAGTACATCGACCAACATACGCTGTATTTCCTTGAAAAAGGCATTTCTTTTCTATCTTACGACACATCACGACGTTCGTATGGTTTTCAACAATCATTACCTCAATTGAACAATATTACTCCCATATACATATAAAAAGAGGGGAGACGAAATTGTTTACATTTTTATCCTGATCCAACATCGTGTTCAGTAGAAAACGATGATGACAAATTTCTGCGAATAGGTGAATTCATCTATTAAAATAATTCAAATTTCCCCATTTTCATCATTACATAAAATTATGATGTATTATGGGAATAACTGTGGCAACGCTGTATTACGTGTTTACTGAGTGACGCATATTTTTCCCAGTCATTCGCGTATGTCAAAAGCCGACGTTAGAGTATTGTTGTGCTGTGTTTGTTGCCATTTTAGGACTTTTGTGTTTAAATTGATTTTCAGTGTTTTCTTGTTATAAAACTATATAATGACAATTATTAATTGTTTATTATGGTTTGCCAGTACGTGGATTGTGAAAAAGTTCACCATTCAAACCCCAAATTGGTATTTCGACAGTAGGTAAGGTTATGTTTCTTCAGTAGTGGTGTAGTTGGGTTATTTAACTGAATTGTTGCAAGAAACGTTGTTTCCTTCATTCAACGTTCACTGGATGATGGATCGAAATTAGCTGGTACCTGAGGTACTACGAATATTTGGTATTAAAATTGAAAGATTAGAGCCAAACATTTTCTAATAGGTATATTAGCGTTGTGAATACGGTAAAATTGTCTTGCCTTTCGCTTAACCTACGCGACTGATTAAGAAAAGTGTGAACATTGACGCACAGTTAACAGCATTACCATTTTTTAAAGCCATATCCTAAAATGGAAAAAAACACAGCACAATAACACTGTCACTTCGGCTTCTGACAATGACTTTGAGAAAAATGATTTCCATATAATACTATAATTTTATGTAACAATAAAATTAGTAAAGTTTAAATAATTTCAATAGCAGAATTCACATATTTCAATTGAGGAATGAACATACAGAGTAAATACAAATTAAGAATGTATATTATATAATTAATGTATGATCAATGCATCCCTCGTTTCCAAACACAGGCAGTAGATCTAGGGCAATCTGCAAGAATTTCTCATCATCGTTTTATGCTGAAAATGATGTGGGATCGGGACAAAATGTAAACAATTTCGTCTCCCCCCTTTTTATATATCTATGATATCGACTCCATTGAGTCAAATGACGCATTTCTGTACCTTGCAATCTCCATCAGAGCTAAACTTCCAAGTACATCAAAAGATATAAGCTGTGTTGACTTGGAAAAAGCATGTCATTTTTATCTTGCGACACACCGTGACGTTCCTATGGTTTTCAACTCTCATTTTCTCAATCAAACAATGTTATTGCCATTGGAGCGAAACTTTCGAGTACATCGATCGAAATCGACTCTATTGAGTCAAACGAAGCATATTTCTGTACCTTGCGATCTCCATCAGAGCTAAACTTCCAAGTACATCGATCGATATAAGCTGTATTGACTTGAATAAAGCATGTATTTTTTATCTTGCGACACACCGTGACATTCCTATGATTTTCAACTCTCATTTTCTCAATCCAACAATGTTATTTCCATTAGAGCAAAACTTTCGAGTACATCGATCGATATCGACTCTATTGAGTTAAACGAAGCATTTCTGTACCTTACGATTTCCATTAGAGAGCTAAACTTCCGAGTACATCGATCGATATACTCTGTATTGACTTGAAAAAGGCATGTCTGTTCTATCTTGTGACTCACCGTGACGCTCCTATGGTTTTCAACTATCATAACCTCAATTGAACAATGCTTTTCTCATTAGAGCGAAACCTTCGAGTATATCGATCGATACCGACTCCATTGAGTCAAACGAAGCACATTTCTGTACCTTGCGATCTCCATTGGAGCCAAAATGTCATACGTATCGATCGATATACACAACACCGACTTGAACAAACCGTTTCCCTTCTGTCTCGCGGGCACCCCGTGAACGTCCACAACATTCTTCGGAACGTCTCACACCTCCGTCGACTTGGCAGCGCCGCTCTGCTGTCCCTTCTTGAACAACCCGCCTAGGAAGCCCTGCGGCGCACCCTTGCCCGCTTTGCCGGCCGCCTTGTCCGACCTGGAGCAGCTGCTAGCCGACGTCGACTGGAAGGAGACGGACATGCCGCTGTCGAGCGAGCCTACGCTGCCGCGGCGCTGCTGCGACGCCGCTCCTGCAACTAGACTGACGTGAGAATATGGCGGCCGCCTCGATATCGCATATCGTCGGCTTACTAACAAAACCTCCTAAGTCCGAATTCTAGGGAATTTGGGTTTGAACATTTTCACTATCTACGAAATTCAGCGCACCCATCACCAAATTATCGTGAGTATGTTTTTGATAGCAACATCTATTAGATATAATCTAAACCTCCTAACTCTACTCTGAGAGATCTTGAACTCAAAACTCGTAAGTCTGCAAGAGAGGATAGAGTTAAGTTGTGCTTGTTGAGAAAGTATAAATCTCTATTGTTTGATCCATATTATTTGAACTGAAATCCATTTCAGACACCAAAGTAAGTTAATGATGAACTATTTGGTCAATCTTCTCTAATATTTCTGCAGTGATGCGAAGGACAATCTTGTTTTGATTCTTCATGTGAACAGACTTACGAGGTTCTGATCTGTATGTTATCTATCTAGTAGAGGACTTAAGAGCTTTTGAGAAGATGTTATGGATATTTTCATCATTTTATTCTGTACATTCCAAATGACGACATTGATTGAAATATTTCGGCTCATCATTGTTGAACCCATATTTCTCATTGTTATCAAAACTGCCGCTGAATTGCTACATGCACTGTGAAGCAAGGCCAAGTAATTGATCAAAACCAATTCAGTCTGAATAATGTTCAATTTATTTTTGTAAATACTTAGTATGTCGTTTATTTGAACATTGAGAATATAAATCGTCCCAGAAAGTTGATCTCATTCATCAAGCAGGCACCTTTACAAAGGAGGAATAGCCTTAAAAAATGAAATTGATTCGATCAAAGTACCTAGTGGAAAACGTTTTTTCCCTCCTGAACAATTAGCTCTGAAAGACTCACGAGGTTTTGACAGTAAGCCGACGATATATGAGTTATATAGAATCAAAAGTGTGTATCTGCCAAGATGAAAAAATATGAGTTAGCTATTGGATATTATAGATTATGGTTTGCACACCATTCTATAATGTCGTTCAGCTTCGAAATTCTTCAAAATGTATCGAAAAACTAAAAGGGAGAAGCGAGTTGGAAACAATGGACAAGTGGAACCAAAACTCGGTATTTTCTCTTCAATATGACAGTGTACTTGAATCATCATGTGTCCCATGAACATATGAAAAACAGTTCATTATCAGATAAAATCGAAAAAAATTAAAGATCAACCACCATGAAGAGGTTGATGTAAACTCAGTTCAAAGTCTTGCTGTTTTAGAAATATTCTCCATTTTGATTTTTTTTAAAACTTTCGAAGGCATGTTGAGGAATATTGCCTCCTTTTTTTCAATTTCTGTATGCTCCTGATAACGATGGAAGAGCAGGTGGGAACCAGCTAATGAGAAAATTGAATGATTCAATAAAACACCTTCATCAAGTTGAATGGGTTTGTCATTCATTATTCGCCTTTCAGTCGTCAAATTAAACATATCTTCCTAGCCGTTATTAGCCAGTCTCTATATGGGAGATTTTCAACTGGTTATGTGACAACTATTATAATATATTATTATGCATTTAATGCAGATGTATCAAACCATCTTTATTTGTATTGATATTATACAGGGGGCACTTTGAAGTTGGAACAAATTCATTAAAAGCTTGATATGGCCATTAGATAAAAATGCTCGGACATGTCATCTTTTTCAGACGCGCATTTGTTGTTAAAGAAAGAATATGACGTTTATACACGAAAGAATGCGTTCTTTTTGAAGGTACTATCAAAGTAGGGCATTGCCATTTGAAGAAAAAAAATGATAATGATGTCATAGTTCGAACAGTGATGACGTCATCAAAATTATAAGTAGGCCAACAAAATTCGCAACTGAAAAAGAAAGTCGAAGTTCCTGAGCTTTTTTCCACAAGGGCCATATCAAGCTTTCAACGAATTTGTTTCAACCTTTACATGCTCACTGTATATTGACATCTGAAAAATGACTCCCTCCTTGATATTGAAGAAGAAAAAGTTAGACGCTCTGGTCAAGAGCTGATATCTCTTTGATAGCCCGAAAGATTTGTCAGGTGGCCAGTTCATATTATACATATCATGTATATCTGGTCAGAAGATGATACACTATAAGTATGTGTGGTGGCATCAGCGAATGTGTTTCCTTACTACCTGCTCGAGAACAAATCAGAAGCGTTATATACTTTGGTTATTTGGTCTGGAGCGGTATCTCCCCACCTGAAACATTTGTCGGGTACTTAACCATTGCTCAGTTTGTAATGATACAATGTATCAACCATTTAAATTAAGATATATATATATTCCCTCATACTGCACCAGAAGACTATGAGCATGTGTGGGGGTATCAGCCAATGCGTTTCCCTACTTCATTCTCGAAATTAAACATGCTCTGTTGTTGATATTATTCATTCATTCAACTAAACTTAAGTTTTTCATCGATAAGTAGGTAATAATTGATTTAATTAATAAATTATTTCTCCCTAACAGTTTTGTTTGAAATATAGTAGCCATAGCCACACAGGAAAAAATAATTTCATGTGGGTTTGCCTCTTTTTTGATCTTTTAGAGATCACGAAAGGGAATCATTTTGATGCTGGACAAAGAAAAAATAGATGGATGAAACTGATTAGCGGTTTTAAAAAACAAAATTTAATTAGAGGTAAGACGAGAAACCCAAATTTCAACAGTTTCATTTGAGAGTACAAAAATCATTTTAGGTACATAACGTTTTTCATTCAAGAAGTTATATTTAGAATTGAAAAAACGTGTTCTCAACAAAATCAACGAATCTTTGAATAATCACCTTGAAAATGTGTTATCAGAACGTATTCATATAACGTTGTCATTGAAAACAAAAAACGAAAAAAACAACAAGTAATGTGTTTTACATCGTCTCAACGTTTGATTAACTTTGAATTTTGTATACTATGTTCTAGAGCCACTTTTGGAAAAACATTATCACTGGTCAGGCCAAACCATTTGATACAGGGAAAATTACTGTGAAAACTAGAACAGATTGGAATAAGAGGAACGAGCCTGAAGTTACTAGAAAGCTATCTATCAAATAGATATCAGTGTGTCACGATTGATGAAATAGATAGTGATATCAGAAATATCAGATACGGAGTTCTGACTTTTCGAACATAAAATTCAATGATGGAGCAGGACATATGACATAAAACCTACTGAAAAAGTGAAGTATCGGAGACTGCTAATGGATCATTATTTAAAATGGGACATACATATCAATAAATTAACCCAGAAATTGGGAAGTTCTCTCGCAACATTTAGATGATACAAACAAGATTTAAGCATAAGAATCCTGAAGACCATATATTTTGCTCTAGTTGAATCCCAACTGGAATATGATATCGTTGCTTGGGGAAGTGCTTACAAAATACACTTATATAGGATATCAAAATATGCAAAAATGGATCTTGAAAATTATATTTGGATGAAATCGTACTTTCCCAAGTAATGAACTATAAGGTCTAGCCCAAATTCTTAATATAAAACAACTATACCTTGAAAATCTATTACTAAAAGAGAAATATAAAGTAGGTAAAACATATAAAGTAATAATAGGAAACTATACGTTCTCGTTCCCAAAGTTGACAGATCAATCGCCCTGAAAAGTCATTTATTTTGGTCCAAAATTGTTCAACATGATGCCACTACAACTAAAGCAGATAAATTCGATAAATATGATGAAGAAAAAACTCAAGCAATGGATTTTTGAAAATTGGAAGATTAAATATTATAGGATTAAAACATTTTGGTGTATGTAGGTATCAACTCACCATATGTTGTTACTTTTCTCCATCATGTATGTATACATTATTTAAAAGTTCAAACTACTCCCCTAACAATTTTTTATTGTTTTGACCATCATTATTCATAAATAATTATAATTTATGTACTCCCTGTGTACTAGGTGTTCTCAGCCTACTGCGGAGTATAATATTTATGACTACCCATTGATTATATATTTCATCCACTTACCTACCAACCTCTAGTTGTTTAGATCATTTTTCACAAGAATTATTTACTTTCCGTGTACTAGGTGTTCTCAATCTACTGCGGGGTATATATTTACCATAATTCATTATAATGTTGTCATCATGTATGTTATATTTGCATTTCTTTTAGTAAATGAATTATTATTATTGACACGTTGAACAAGTAATACAACCACAACAACATGGTTTTCTAAGTAAGAAATCTACAGTAACCAACCTTGCGATATTCAGTAATGATGTATCTACTTTTATTGATTCTCAAATGCAGGTAGATGTAATATATACAGACCTGGCAAAAGCCTTTGATAAAGTCAATCATTCGATCCTTGTGAGTTAATTGAAATGTTTTTCTCTTGATGAAAACATGATTGCATTGATGAGATCATATTGACATAATAGAATACAGTATGTTCAATATAATGATGCCTGTTTTGAAAAGTTCATAGCAACATCTGGAGTCCCTCAAGGGTCAATACTAGGTCCTTTGTTATTCGATTTATTTGTCAACGATATAGGTAACTATATCAAAACTTCAGGATTTCTTCTTTATGCTGACGATCTCGAACTCTACCACAGTGTGAGCGACCTAACGGATTGTATAGACCTGCAAAATGATTTGGATGGTGTCGTGGAGTTTTGTTACATAAACGACCTACAATTGAATGAGGGTAAATGCAAAATGATGACGTTCACAAGAAAAAAAAAAGGTGATTCAAGGTAATTATTCTATAAATAACACTGTACTGGAGAGACTTGATTATATCAAAGGTTATTTTCAATGGTGCTTTCAATTTCGTAATGCACATTGAATATATAGTGAAAGATGCCTACCGGAAACTCAACTGTGTTCTTAGAAATAATAACAAGTTCAAATGGAATACTTTATCAGTCCTGTACAATGCATATGTTAGATCTAATTATGTTAGATCTAAATCTATCTCAACTATTTCGAATCCCACTACAGCTACTCACTCTGAAATGATAGAGAAAGTTCAGAAGAAATTTTTGAGCTGTTTGTTCTTTAGGAAAAATGGCATTTCTTCATTCATGGTTTCCTATAATACTCAAAGACTGCAACTGAATGTTGATTCATTGTCTCATCGAAGATTTTTAAATGATGTAGTATTTGTAATAAATGTTCTCAGTGGACATTTAAATGTACCTGAATTACTCTCTATAATACCTATAAGTGTTCCAAATATTAGTCTTAGAAGAAGAAACATGTTATTCAAAGTTAGCAATTCTAATACTTCTCTAAACAGATGTCTGATGAATGTTAACTCTTTTAATGTGAATAATGATGTTGATATTTTTAATATGAATTCTTGTGATATTTTTAGATTTTGATACATATATATATTAATAATCATATTTTTTTTTAGATGTTTTTTGTATCGTATTTTTGTGCATTTGCATACTGTTTACTATATATTATTCTACAACTGTGAACATGTAAAAGGGCTTTGCCTGTTGTTTTGCAGTATAAATAAATATAGACATTTCTGAAAAACGTGTTTTCTCCATCATTATTGAACGACAGCACACAACAATAGCAGTATCGTAACTTACACTGTTCGTGGATGTCGAGGAGCGAGTTGCTGAGCGCCGATCGCTTGATCTGGGGATCGTGCGTCGCTTCTTCCTGGTTGGCGCCCATCGCTTGGTTCTGCGAGCAGGGGCACTGGTAAGGGCACACTTCCACGTCGGCCACCCCGCTATCACGATTCTCCGTCCCTAAGAGAAAAGGAAAAGTGAAATAGGAGAAAGTTCGTAGCATAGTGAGTAGGGATGCACCGGATCGGGCAGATTGCCGATCCGGAACCGGAATTCCAGCCTCTGGCTGGACCGGATCGCCGGATCGGGACCTAAATTTAAAATGTATGTGCATTCCTATTTTCATACGTAAAACATTGAAAATATTGAGGCTGATTTCTTTTTTCTTTTATTTAAACTAGCTACAGTATGCAGAGTGTTAATTACCATTAATTTTATGTAGATAGAAATTACTGTTTATTTGAATATCAATTTTCAATCAGCATTAACAAAATCAAAACAATTCTACTCATTCAAGGAGAATAGCAGCCACCTGCCAATAATAAAAAAATTCAAAAAAAGTCGGGGAACCCAGCAACTAGTGTCTATTCAGAGAGACTATTTTCAGAAATTTGGTAATATATTTGTTGATGATAGGTGTAGGCTAAACTCTGAAAATGCCGAAAAGCTCTTATTTTTTCACCATAATCTTAATAAAATAAATTATGAATATGTACTAAGTTTCAAGTTTCTCATATTAATTTTTTTATGTAAACTGTATACTTATCTTATAATACTCATCCATAACAGGGAATTTGGCTGTTATTTTTGTTCTCAGAATATGGCTGCTAATAATGTTTTCAGTTACTATTGATAAATTCATTTTGTTCAAAAAAAATTATTTGTGATTAATTAACGCTTTAACAATAGGTAAGTATAGACACCAATTTAAAAAAAACGTATTATTTTTTCATATATTTGAATTTGAATTATATTAAAAATTAAAAACTTAAACATTTCCAAAAAGTTCCGAAAATTCCGGCCGGAAAGCGATCAGGTCGGAGCGATCCGGCCGGAACGGCCGGATTTAGTGGTACCGCCGGAATTCCGGTGCATCCCTAATAGTGAGTAGATTAAATAGAGTGACAAAAGACCTCCGAATGGACTCCGTTTCCGGAATGTCATTCGTTGTATAGTCACTGAATAGCTAAAAATCTGAAGGGAATCTCCCATGCAGTAATGGAACTGCGCCTTCCAAGTGCCCACCTGTTTAGATATTTGATATTTTCATTGCATCATCTAGATAATCTGAGACTTAGGAGTCCCAGAAGAAGGATTCTAATAGTTAATATCCAAGGTACTGAAGTATAGAGTTTAATTTCTGATTGTTAGATGTTTTGTGTCCAAAAAGTGAAAAACAGAGACAAAGCATTGACAAAGTGAAATAGAACTGAACTGAACGGAGAAAACAAGATAGGTGGATGCACCTCATATTAAAAATCTGACTAATCAAAAAGTGAAAAGTGTACCACTATTGTCGTCACTCTATTGTCCCCACTATATTTCTACAGCCACTCTAGTTCATAGTAGTGACTTCACAGAACAGTGGCGAATATAGATTTTACTCCATTTCCAGAAATTTCATTGGTGTATTTCATCATTTCGTTAAAGTGTGTTCATAATAAACTTCAAGATAGTGAACCACGGCTGTGGAAGTAACTTTTAGGGTTGTAATTATTAAAACTATTGGTATGTACCTACCTATTTTTGCTTTTGTATTGTATGAACAAGGTGTAATATCGTGTTGGCATTAGCAGATATCCATAATTCGAGGTGAATACAGTTTATATCAAATGGTAATAAGTAGTGTCCAATAGAATTTTTGTTGAAAATCACGGAATAATACCCCCACTTAGGGAAAAAAACACGTATACTTTCAAATATAATTGCTGGAACATTCACGCCTAAAAATCTATTCTGAGTGGAACGGAGGTTTCCTTTGGATGAATTTCATCAAATTATATTCACACTGCTTAGGATTATGCTTCTGCAATCTATAATGGCCATTGAAATGATTCAAGTTATTTTCAATTTCTAACTAGAGCAATTATTAAGAAATATTTTGGCGGAAAACGATGACGTGAACGGTGAATCTAGTGTGAACATGGGTATAATAACTTCGGCTGTGAGATACAAATATCTGAACAAGCCCGAACTGAAAACTGAGGAAAAAAATTAACGTTTCACTTTTTCATGATGATTACGAGTATAACCAGAAAAATTAATGAATTGAAAGAGATATCTGAAAATAATATAATTCTAACGAATTAGTCTATAGAGATAAAATTCAACATGAATCACAGCAACTAGATTACAATGAACAATTGCGAATAACAACAAAGACAGCGCTTCTATAATACTAGACCGAAAATTAAGAAGTATAAGGTAAACAACAATCAATAATGGAAACATAACCTCAATAAATTTGCAGCAATTAGTATGGTTTAGTGTAAAACTGGTTTTGGGCGCGGCTACCAGGTATGATTTACTAATTTCTTGGGAGCAATGAAAATCCACTCCGACTCAGAATCCCTTCAAGTTGGAATTATATTTTAATTCTATTCATTTCAAGATTTAACCTTTAGTAATGTAGGTATTCTAAATATTATTGAAATATATATTTAAGTCATGGAAACCATGCATCCTTCTCAGTGGTCCAGATTTTTTCAAAGAAAATACACAAAATACACCATACACAAAATACACCAAGTCGGTCGACCACAAAATTATATAACACAATTACTAGTGTGACTAGTTTCGGCTAAACAGCCATCTTCAGACACGAATTGACCGACTTGGTGTATTTTGTTTTTTCTTTGAAATAAATATTTGTTTCGTCTGGATTAGTCGATTCATCTATAAAAAATTTTGTTACTTTTCGACTAATCTAGAATTACAAAAAATATCATTCCATATAAAGTAACCAATATTGAAATAAAGTCTCAACGCAGTCGATACATATACAGAATTCCCTAATACACAAACATATAAATAGAAACGGCAGCGTCACAGTCGCGATAGTACAATCGCGTACTAGCTGTGAATATGGCAGTTCAACAATGACGTCAGCAACATGGCGAAGGAGCCGAAACTATTTCTTTGATTTTTTCTAATAAACTTAACCAAAAAATGAAAATCTCAATATAGGAAACTTTCCAATTCTCATACTGATACTGGTATGAATCTAAAAACTTCTTTTGTGATGTGAATGTAATATCATATTTGTATCCATCGTTTGAACTTTTCATGGCATTCAGTTTGTGTCATGTAAGTTACAAATAAATGAAAAAATGTTCACCAACCTGTTCTCGTTCCCCTATTCGATTTTTGCCTATCTAACTCTGCCTCTATTCTCAGGTTCTCCATTTCGTCCATTTCACTGATGGCTTCTTTCAGGTCCTCGGCGAATTTACATCTGTCATGTTCATTTCTCGCATTGAATGTGACCAAAACTTTCTGATCCACACGTTGACTGAGCCGTATACCAAATGGATAATCTGAAAAGAATATATCTAAAATCTACGATTCGGACTCCTAAACATCCTGAACAGCGCTAAAGAAACTTGGCAACAATGACAACAAAGTTCTTCACTCAGTGAATTCATTAATTTCTAGTGGAATAATTATAATTCATCAACACGTTCGCTGCCGAGCTAAAATTTCAAAATCTCACTGGCCAACTTAATTTTTACCAATGGTACTTTTTGAGAGCATTTCCATAAGTATTGGTTTCATACCCACACAATAGTTTCCATCAAAACCCCCCAGGCCAAAACTTATACATACATATGTAAGTATGTATGTTCGGCGTTCGCGTTCATTTCGCGGACGTTGAACGCATAAATGCTGAGATGCGTTTACGTTGAGTCAGGTTCGCACCAGAATGCTATCTGGGACAGCCCTGCACTTGTGAGAGCCAACAGCTCGAGACTGGTCTGCCGGTAGTCACTCATTCCTGAACCACTTAGGCACAGCTCGACGTTTAGGAATGAAACACTTGCGATTTTATTCGTCTATACGAATTATTGCATAGATTTTGGGCGGATGTAATCCAATGTTCTGCGTGGCATATAGCCAGGAAAGTAGTTGTTTTTCTCTCGTTATCTACCATTTTCGTTCATTTTATGACCTAGTGTGTTAATGACTTTCGAGTTTCTCTCTCTCTCTCTTTGAGAAAAATTATAGTTTGAAAATGAAGGAGTTCAATGTCAATGTAGATTTTTCATTACTAAAATTGTCAGATTTTATCATTGAACTAGGTTTTTTTCTGGGGAGTGGTTTTTCTTCAATAAATTGTGTTTAATGAACTTCATATCTTGGAAAGGTATTGTTATAGCTTGATTCTCATTGCCAGAGCCCCACAGTCGACATTGATGCAATGTCATCACCAAAAAAGTTCCTAATCCCACATGAACATCGGTACTATATTATTATTGGAATAATTGCCACAGAAGTGCAAATATGTGATCAAACCATCCTGATTTTCCAGCAACACACTGCCAATATTGGACAGTATGCACTATTGACTGTATTATTCCTGTTGAGTATAATCAAATTATGGTAATACTTCTTTTTCATTGACGCTTGTACTTTTGATTTAATGAATAAATCACCTAATCCATAGTGAATCAATACACTTGAAACTTAATCTGCTTTGTACATTGGATATCCAATTGAATGTAAACGTTTCACTCCAGAATCAGTTTTTTGTGTATAATTTTCAATGTCGCGATGTTTGGAAGAAGGGAATTTTCCATATATTTCGTCCATTTTCCTCTGTGTAAGCTATAAATCGGAAAGACAAAAGGTGGATTTATGCAGTATCATTCAACAATTATCAACTAACATTTATCATTTAACAAGTAGCAATTCACAGTTAAACATTTAACAATTATCAATTAACAAGTGAGGTACTTAGTTTTTGAAAGGTATCAGATTAGTATAAAGGTCAGATAATTTATACGACGTTATGAAAGCAGATGATATTTTATCATTGCTCATGTAAGATGGAAGTTGAGGCCATGGCACCATATCATGAGCATATTTTCATATTGAAACTATCATTGGGCACCAATGATGTGTATACGACGCTATGAAAGTTCAGAGAACTTGAGATTTTTTCCACAAACTTCGTACTTAGCCCACTCGAATGCCAATAGGGACTGAAATAACAAAAACAAAAATGAGTTAAAACAATGCCAACATATTTCTTCTTTGTGGAAAATCAAGACAGTCGAGTGAGCTAGGTACGTGGTTTGTGGGAAAAAATCAAGACAGTCGAGTGAGCTAGGTACGTAGTTTGTGAGAAAAAATCAAGACAGTCGAGTGAGCTAGGTACGTAGTTTATTGGCGAAAAATCAAGACATTCGAGTGAGCTAGGTACGTATAGTTTATGGGCAAAAAATTTAGACAGTCGGGTGAGCTAGGTACGTGGTTTATGGGAAAAAAACTAAGACAGTCGAGTGAGCTATGTACGTAGTTTTATGGGCAAAAAATCAAGACAGTTGAGTGAGCTAGGTACGTAGTTTATGAGCAAGAAATTCAGGCAGTCGAGTGAGCTAGGTACCTAGTTTATTGGCGAAATATAAAGACAGTCGAGTGAGCTAGGTACGTAGTTTATGGGGAAAAAAATCAAGACAGTCGAGTGTGCTTTCTTTACTTTCTTTGTTTCTTGTTTCGTTTTCTATTGGCAAGTGATTATCTAGGAACTTGTAAATTTTTTAGTTTTTTCATCGTATCTCCCGAACTATTGAATTCAGAAAAAAATGTTATGAGGATTTTTTGTGGATTTTATCAAAAGGAATAATTTTGGTTCTATAACATTTTCAGATATTTTCAGTTGTTTTCGAGATATTTGGAATTATCTGAGAATAAAATTTTCAACACTTTTGTTCCATCTTCCAATCAACAAAATGAAAAAATATTCCATGCCTCAGTGGAGGTAGATGAGCTTCATCTATCGATAATCTATGTTTTTCAATATATCTTCATAGTACCCTATGGGTCGTTAAAATTTTTTTTTTCATATTTTTCACTTTATTTCCTGTACTATTGGGTTTACAGAAAAAATTATGGAAAATGATTTGTAGGGAATGTTCCAGTGGATAACATTGCACTCTTGATAATTTTCGATTTTTCCATTTGTTTTCGATATATATTGAATTAAAAGGATTTCAAATTTTGATGTTTGGGTTTTCATTTGTTTTTCCAGTTTCCGATGGATGCACGAAAAAATGATTGAATGATAATTTGTTGCGTCATCAAAGAGGCATACGGTGCATTTTTCAAATTTGGATTTAGTCTATTGGTTCAGGAGATATGTCGTTTTAAAGCGAACCGTGTTTTTCGGAAAATCTCCTTGAAAAACCCACTTGGAATTTTCCGACCCTGCTCAATTTCAATAGGCTTCGTCTCTTCCTGATAGAGGTTTTTTTCACAAAAAATGAAATCGATCGGACCACTTTTGCGATTTGTAGAGTGGTTACAAGGAACATCCGGTGAAAAATCGAAAAAACCCGGAAAAACCACCTTAGAGTTTTCCGATTTCCTTCATATTTTAATGACATAATATTGTTTTGAGTACAATAAGATGGCGAAATTACAAGTCGATATGTCAAAGGGTTCCGGAGATATATCGATTTATGATTAACACAGAGTACAGACAGACAGACAGACAGACCACACACAAAAACCAAAGTTGCTCAAAATTCGATGGGGATCATTTTCTCCAAAGCAACTATACCTCTATCTCGCTTAGTTTCCGAGATAGCATTTTTGGCACGGCCGTAGTATACTCCACTATGTATAGCGTCGTATAACAAGTAACAAGTAAGAAGTTGACCAACTTTTAACTTTCTACAATGATTGATCCATGTTTTCTTCTAGTGCGCAACTCTAGTACGCAGATGATCGCGGATTGGTTTCATTGACTGGTAGAGAAAGCATGGATTGGTCAGACCAATGTCAGACCTGATATCTGACAGATGTTATGAAATTTGTTTCAACATAAAACAATCCCAATCAACAAAACAATTGTGGATAAAAGTAACCCAATCTCTTCCAGATCAGAAAACATTTTGAAATTTCAGCTCCTTATGTTAATTGTAAACAACGAATTTATAAGGTTATGGCTTTGATAGCCTTGATTTAGGGCATGTGCGTTTGCGTACTAATACTTCATTAATTGTTGATTTGGTTTGCATTACTGTCAATATTCTCATCACTTGTTGATTGATAATTGTTAAATGTTACTTGATAATTGTAAATGTTGTTGCATAAATCCACCTGAAGAGTCTAACAGTGATTAGATTGAATTTACTCATTATCACTTTTCCATATTATTCATTTTTCAATAAATAATAAGTTAACTGCTCAATAAGCGAGAATTCAAATAAGGAGCTTTTCAAATGGCGCTAATTTGATTGGCACTTGACGATTGGACAATTTGTCAGCTTCATAGCCAATCTCACGATACAAAATGCTAACTGTTAAAAATATGGTCAATTCTCTAACCTATCATTCTGCAGAGTTATCCCCACCCTTCGGGATTTCATTCATTCATCCGTGTTTGGCATTTAGCGTTTAATATTGTTGGCGCATACTTTTCAATGGTTTACTCACAAGGTACGTCGAACAGGGTGACCACCATTCCGCTGAGAGGGAAGCTATTCCTGAACGTGTACGTCACCGAGGCCTTCTTCTTGCTGAGGATCTTCGTGACGACCAGCAGGTCGTTGAAGAGGAACACCTCGCGCTGGTGCACGCCCGGCCGTTCCTTCTTGTGCACGTCGGGGATCTCGTAGAGGCGGCAGTAGCAGACGAGCCGGCGGTGCGGCAGCGCCATGTTGGGCTTCTTGCCGACGATAGTCGCTTGGACTTTCATCACCTGCGGCATTCGTTCATCATTAAAATAGAGATTAATTATTTATTTATTTATTCAATAAACAGATTCACCTTTACAATAGAAATTAGTTATATATAATCAAGATGGCAAATGAAATTCAACAATAAAATAAATTTAACTTTTTGTAAACACTACATCTTGTTGTTGGTTAGGTTGAAAAATTACATTAAGCCCAAAGAGAATGAAAAGGGAAAAGAGAAAAAAAGTATCAACTGAATTAATGGTGACTGATTAACTTAGGATCAATTTAACAAATTCTATTTTTAAATTTGGCTAAAGACTGAACGAACTCAATGTTAAATGCATTGAAATTACGCAAAATGTGGGAAAAAGGGCTGAAGAACCCACAGGGTTTTATTATTATTTATAACAACTGATTCTGTGTTTCTAGTAGAATATGAGGAAACATTGAAGGTAATCCTATTGAGAAGTTCATAGCAATCAATTGATTCAGAAAACTAAGATAGGAACTTTTTCATTTTACTACTTATGAAGAGACTATTTGTCTCTCTTTTTTGCCATGTAGCCATAATTGATCATCCATTTGGATACATGTAACTGAAATTGTTGTAATAATTGATGTATTGTCCTAATATTATAAGTTATTTTCGGATGATTTTTTAAACTCAATGAAATTATATCTTCACACACATCTTCTGGGACCGATTAGGGTATGGAAAATATTCTGGTGCCATATCAATTTATTAAAACTGAATTTGAATAAATGTCAAAAGATAACATTTTCACGAAGCCATGATGCTATTGATCATATTTACAGAGTTAATGATACTAATCTATCAGTAACCAATACAATCAAAGACTTAGGAGTAATATTCGACTCGAAAATGACCTTCAAACATCACATAATAGAAACATCATCTCGTGCTCTTAAAATGCTAGGCTTCTCTCTCCGTTTTGCTAAAGAACTATCTGTTAATGCTGTTAAAATTATTTATTGTGCACAGGTGAGGTCTATTCTTGAATATAATTCTTTGATCTGGTCACCATTTTACAAAGTTGATTCTGATCTTTTAGAGGGTTGTCAAAATGAATTTTTAAGAAGTTGTGCATATCACATGGGATTCAATAGGGATGAATATACCTATCCACAAATATTAGATATTTTGAACATGAATACGTTGATACATAGAAGAATGGAAATTGATCTATTATTCCTCCATAAAATTATCAATGGTTACATTGATTCTCCTGAAATTGTTGCTCTGATTATGCTTTCCGCAAATACAAGAAGAAACAGAAATAGTGACATTTTCAAGATACCATTCTGTAGGACAAATTATGGCCAAAATAAATCAATGAATAGAATTATGAAAACAGCAAATAAAAACAATTACCAAATTGGACTTTTCAATTCATCTTTATTGTCTCTCAGGAGAGCGATAAAAAACTGTTAATCACTTTTTTCATAATCTTCATTCGTTTTAGCCTTCTAAATTTTTTTTGTGTTAGTCTTCTTCATAGATATGATAATATGTAGGTGCTCTGTATTTTTATACTTTCTTATTGTAAATCGTATAATTGGCTTGTCCGTTAATAAATAAATAAATAAATAAATAAATATCGTCTAAGTAATGATCTTTGGATTTCTAAGCCTATCAAGCATCGAAATGTCATTGTATTCGGGCCACAACCAACTTCATGTATTTCAATAAAATGCAATTTAACAGCCAATTAATGAATGAATCTCAAATTGTGATACGAAGTTGAATAGAGAATTTCATGGCGCATAAGATTAACAACAGAAATATAAAGGGTGCCATTTGGAAAAAAAAAGTTGGGTCTACTTCCAATCAAACAGGTGGTTGAAAAAAATGGTCATTGGGTTCTAGGAAAGCGACATCATCGATTATATAACCCTTGTAAATTTAAAATTTTTATCTCTCCAAATAAAAAAACTACAGGCTGGTACGTGTCTCCTGTGTCACCCGGTATATCATATTTTCTTCTGTATTCCTAGTAAGCTTCTTCAGTGAGTATATAAATACTTATCAATCTAACATCAAGGAGAAATTTGATTTTCCTTGTACCTGGTTGGCTATGAAAATAAAACGCTGAGATACCCACATTGCCTCGAGAGCATGAAATTACAATGGAAATGTTTTGACGTTCATAGGTAAAAGGACATTTACATTCAACTTCAGATCATATCGAATGGGCTGGTAGTGAATAATTGGCATTCAATTACTCCATTGTGTCGATACGGACCTGAATTAATTTTTGCAGCACTTCTTACGCGTTTTGTTGTGAATAATGTGTCTATGCGTTGTATGAAATTGTTGGATTTGAAAGCACATTTCAAACAGCGTTGCCATTTTGGCATTTTTTGAAGCCATCTCTTTCTAACTCATTTGAAACTTCGGAAGTATGTACGACTGAAAACAAATGGTATTTCATGAATGAAATGTTATGTCTCCACTCTCTCTATATGTCTATGGAAATATCCCTTATGTGGCATGAGACGCGTGCCCTCACCTGCGTCACGTGATCCGAGCCCGGCTTGAACTCGTTGGCCTTGACCCGCTCGTAGATGCCGACGAGCATGTCGGTGTCGATGTCGCCGCAGTCGTCGATGCCGCGCAGGTTCTTGATGAAGTCCTCGATGCGCATGCGCCGCTCCGGCTTGATGTTCGGCGTGTGCAGGTCCGTGTTGAGCATGATGATCGCGAACGCGAGGACAAAGATCTGAAAGGTACAGAGGGATATCAGAATCTATTTTCAGGTGGCGACTGTATGGGGTCGGATCAAAGACATTTAAACGCAAGAAACCTAATTATCAACGTTTTTGCCTGATCAATGATCATCGTTTAATTCCCCTTTTCCATCTATTTTTCTTCAATTGTATAATTGCCAGACTGTGATATTTGAAATAGCTTATGAAGTTTTGCAATGGATTGAATGATATAACACAAACAACCCTCTGTATAGTTCAGTGATATAAGATTGTCTCTCAGGATTGGGTTGACATAAACCTGGTATGTAAGTTGCACACTAGAATAGGATATTTAGTTTTAATCTTCTCCTGAAATACTATCACAGTTAGTGAAACACGTGTCGAGATGTTTAAAAAATCGGTTTGGTTAGTGGTAAACTTCAATTTAACAAAACAATGATTACATTGCACTAAAGCATAACTGTTTCATTCCTATTACATACTATGAATTATAGTCTCGTTGAATAGGTGTTCATTTTAACGAAATCAACCCATTGCTATCACTTCCACCAGACGAATCAGCTGTTTTGGCAACGCGGCAGGTGTAAACATTCCACAATTTCTACGATCCCCCATCGTTTTCAGCAGAAAACGATGATGACAAATGTCTGCGGATTGCCCTAGATCTACCGCGTGTTTGAGAACGAGTAAATCATTCATCATACATTAATTATATAATATACATTCTTTATTTGCATTTATTCCCTATGTTCGTTCCTTAATTGAAATATGTGAAGTCTGCTATTGAAAATATTTAAATTGTACTTGTGCATCAGCCTGTTCACTACGAGTGATGCATATTTTTCTCAAAGTGTGGCAACGATGTATTCGATTGTTTAGTGTTTGTGTTTCAATTGATTTTCAGTGTTTTCTTATGAAAATATATGAAGAAAATTATTAAAAATCTATTATCGTTCACCAGTGAGTGAATTGTGGAACAGTTCACCATACAAACCCCAAGGTTATATGTTCCTTTTAACTTGAGCAGTGGTGTAGTTATCGCAGGTTTTTCAACTTAATTATTGCAAAAAACCGTGTTTTTCTTTTTGTTCAAATCCCACTGAATGATGGATCAAAATTAAGTTCTTAAATTATGATCCGATTCTTTTCGAAATTTGGGATATTCGGGGGTCGGAGGTTATAATTTATCCTTCGAAATTGGGAAAATCCAGATATCTGATCCAATAGGGCGAAAGAGCTTTGTAATAAATAGTAGTTTGAAAAATTAAAATGAAACATGCTTTAATAGACATTCTAACTCGAGGCCAAACTAAATAGAAGTAGGAAATATATAGTTCAAAGAACTGAAGAAACACGCTATTTTTATGGATAGCCAAACTAAAAAGAAGTAGAAAATGAAGTTATAAAAGTGTGTTGATAAATATTTGACTGAAAACATTTTCTAGAGATAATGGTTATGACAAAACGAACAATATATTTTTTCTGCAATCCACACAAGTCGTCCATTTTGATACAAAAGTTAGCTCTTGAATTAACGTTTCTATTACTGACACAAAAATAGGTATGTTGCTAGGCAACATATTTAGTTCCTAGGAGCTAAAGTGGAATTTTGATTCCTAGGAGCTGAAGTTGAACTTTAGCTCCTAGGATGTACTAGACGTTACCAAGAATAAACAACATTGTTACGGTTGGTTATTTGGGTTGAGACGCATACCTGATTTGATTCCGATATCGGCACATTTGGCATTTCATACCCATGCTGGAGATATAAATACACCTTAAGTATCGGAATTATAAAGATCTCAGATAAGTATTTTTGTTTTGATCAGGGAACCTTTCAAGATTCAAATACTTGCTTGATCTGTATATTTCATTCGTTATTCTCGGGATGCATAATTTGTTCTTGAATAATCACGACAAGCAATAGCTTACCTCCATTTGATCATCAAGTCAAACAAAGTGTAGTATGGAGAGGAATAAATAATCGTTATTATTATTGTTGATATGCTCACTAACCTAACATTTACCACGTCTTGTTCCTATACCTGGCACTGGCTCGGTATTCGCCATTTAGAACACCTGGTCCATACACAAATATGTCACTCTGTGGTTGCATTTATATAGAAACTATAATTCGAACATCCTTGAAAATTAAATAAACCTGCTGTTAATGCAGATAGAATATTCTCACCACACGGATTATTTGTCAATATTTGTTGCATTGCATACATATGGCACGACATTGGTGGTTACTTCACATACTTATTTGAGTTAATTATTTCGGTTGCAGAAAAAATAGCATGTTTTATCCGGATCAAAAGTGACACCTTGTTTGACGAGCGAATTTTGCATTTGCGAGGCGGAGCGTTTAGCGCCTAATAAAACAATCTACTATTATTATTCAGTTGTGTTTATTTATATTTGATTTTAGATTATAACTGATGATAATTCAATTATTGTCCTGAAAAGGGAGGGGGAAAACTCACCGTGTCCGGGGATCTCAGCCTGGCCACGATGTCGACGTTGCACTGGCAATGCCTCTGCGAGAACACCTCCATCAGCCGCTCGATCTTCTGCGCCTCGCCGGGCATCCGGAAGTGCTGCTGGAACTTCCGCAGCGCCACGTCGACCTGCATCGGTCAAAAATGAAGATTTTACAGAGTTTGCGAGTCATTAAGGGGGACAAGCTATAAGACACGTCAACATTATTGATCTACTGACTTTTGCCCGCGGCTTTCTAAAAACACATTTAGATACATACCTAAGACTCCAATCACTGTTTTCAACACAAAATGGCAAGTTTGGATTTTCTAGTACATAGATTAATTTAATTTCCTCTGAGCAAAGAAAGATTCGATGCTGGAAGAAGTGTTGTTTATAAAGTGGCTGGCGTCAATGACTATGATATCAAAATAGTAGATAAATTAATACATAGACATAAATTTGAGTTAACACTTCGAAATTCTACGACTTTTAGAAGAATACCAAAGGTTCAAAGAACACATAGCACATTTAAAATATGGTAGGTTAGATAAATCGTGTGTAACCGAACATATGTTCAATCACAATCATAACACACATATTACTAACCTCAAATTAGTTAAGCAAGTTAATGATATTAGAAAATTAGACGCATGTGAAAGCTTAGAGACATTTAAGAATAGTAATAGAGCAATGAATGAATATAATGGACCTATTCCATATAGCTCTCTATATAGTGTAGTAATATAAAATTAAGATTAACTTGTGAACTCAACCATGACAAACATTAACTTGACGGTTAGTATTTTTCACAGTTGGGTGACCATATACCTAGTATATAAGCAGCACACTGGAATAGGATATTTAGTTTTAATCTTCTCCTGAAGATGCTAACATAGTTAGCGAAACACGTGTCAAAGCGTTTGAAAAATCGGTTTGGTTGATGGTAAAACAGTGTAGTGTATTATCGTGTCAAAGGTTCCAGTCTTCGAATTATGTTTATCGACACCAATGTGGACAAAGAACATAGGAACCAAGTAACCCAAAAATATATAGTGTGGTTCATAAGTTATGATTTATTGAAAGAAATTTGAAAATGTATGAATCACCCTGTATCTTGGTTGTGAATAATGATAGAAACATGAAAAACGGGTTATTTAGAAGCACCTCTGTGGTCTCCATCTACCCTTACTCTATGCCAATTTCTCAATGAATCACCCTGTAAGATAGGAGGAAGTGAAATTCAAATGAAAGTTTCAATCAATAGCGAAACAAAATTTCAGTGACATTTCTGAAACTCTTGAATGTGACGTCAACATTTTCTAATTGAACAACAAACAAGGTTGCGAAACCTTCAGTGAAGCATCCAACTGCAATGTGGAAAGAACCTCGCACTTTTCAAAGGGAAAATGGTACTTGGTGAAATATTGGACGTTTGAAATCGCAGAGTTATGTTAATGGACAGATTTTGAAATACAGGCCGTTAAAGTTGAAAATCGGTGATTATCATTTATTTTCACGGGATTTGAGGGTGCCAAGTGCATTGCTGAATTATTTTGGATCAACATTATCAAGCCTCCAAAGTTTTGATATAAAAAATCGCGATGGTGAGTTCCTCAATTAATAGCAATGAAACCAGTCATACTGGGAAATCAATTCCATCATTGAAAATCTTAATGATTCCCCAATATATTCCAACGATATCATGTTCATATGGTATCAGCTATCTTTCACTTGAATATACAGGATGTGTATAAATGAATATAACATATGTGTCACCAATTTTTCAAATCACCCTGTATGAAATGTATGAATTGTGATTCATGATGGAATGAGAGAAGAATATTGTATGCTGAAATAGTTCCTTCTATATTTCATTATTACACCGAATTTTCAGACATCACTAAAATGTTAAATTTCACTCTGTAAATAATGACATAAGCTGCACCATCAAGTTAATATTTAATGACATGAAGGTACGGTAATGATATGAACGAAAAAAAAAGCTCTTGGAACCTTAAAATCCCAATGAAATAATTAAATAATAATTATCCATTGGTAACTTCTATGCCCTGTTTCAAAATATGTCTATGTAAGAACTCTGCCAGTCTGCATGTTCAATCGGTTCATCAAATCCTACAACATACTGCAAAGGAAATTTCACCGGGATCCATTTCACCAATAAAAAGTGCGGGGTCGTTTCCAAAACGTTTCACTTGCCACCTAAATGAAATATTCCAATTCTGAAATTTCGATTAGAATGGGCAACCTTACCTGCATCCCGGACAAGTCCAACTCAGCAGCGAAGCACTCCAGCACCGCCATGCAGAACGGACTCTGCAAGTTCCCCAGATACTCCCCAATCATCTGCTTGCTCAACCCCTTCCTCGAGATCAAAAACCTCGCCACCCCCTGCGGCGAATTTTCCAGGAACCCCCTGCGGATCAGGTAAGTTATCCCCTTCTCCGGCTTCTTGTTGAACAGGTTAAGCCCCACACGGTACTGCCTTTTCCTTATGGTCTCAGAGATCTTGTAGCTCGAAGGATTTTGTTGCTGCTCAGGAGTCCTCTCCACCAAGGTATAAGTGGAAGAGCTGGCGTTGGAGATGTTGCCAAGACTAGTCTCCAGCGCGGGCTCAGCGTACTCGCCGTGGCTGCCTTTCCGCTTCCACACCGGTGAGCTTGCGTACTCGCACTGAATTCTGTCCGCGGAGATGCTGCTGTCGCTGCCTGAGCTCTGGACGCTGCTCAGGGAGCCGTTGTCGGTGGTCTTCATGAGCCCGTTGGCTTTCTGCCTGGGCTCCAGGGACCTGGAGGAGATGCTGGACGTTCGCTTGGGGACCTCGGGAGGGACTTTGCCTCTGCTGAGGCTGTTACGCGAGCGCGAGTACCTGTCGGAGTAGCTGGTTGGAAAGAGCGATTTATTTTGATCATTTCTGCTGCGGGAAAGCCGTCGCATTATTAGGACATCTGTGGAACCGCTGCCAAATCGATAATTCAAGAGGTTTTTTCGGATAAAACATCTTATTCAACTCAGCATCAATGGTTTGAGTTATTATTATACACATACACACATTTGAGTGGTTCAAAGTTGAAGTGAACAAAGTCCATGTTTGAAATATAGAGCTTTGAAGTTGCTCCTCAGTGATCAATTCCAATATCATTTAGTTTGTTCGTTTCATTTGAGGGACAATTAGAGAATGTTAGCCATCATTGAATATAAAAGAAGAATATTACCAACTTTTCCCGTGATGATTCTATGGATTCAAAAGAAAATCGCTCAACCTTAATAAAATAAACTCGATTTTTGAAATAAGATTGATGTGGTAAATCAATATTTGCACTTCCAGGACTAAAATATGTCCCATATTTCCTGAAACAGAGGCTGAAATGATTCCAAGTGACTACAGTGAACCGTTCATTTCAAAGCAAACTGACAAAATAACCAAATGGTGCTTGTCCACATGGATTATTCTAAGACTGATGGGTTACCCAATTTTAGTTATGATGTAATAATATTGCATATACCCTGAGATAAAAAAACATTCTTCTAAACAGATCCTATAGTGACGTAACCAACAGAAACTAGTCAAATTGAATTGTAACTTTGATGAGTGAACTAATTGGCTGATAGTTTTACAGATATTTCGTAACCTTCAGAAAATAAACCACTCGCGTGATCAATAACACTTTACTTGAACTCGCTTGCCAATAGAAGCTTTGGAATTCCTTGCCAAAGGAAATATTCCCAAGAACTTGAAATGTTGAAATGTTGAAAATAAAATCTAAAACCTACCTCCCTAGATATGCAAGATGATCTTCGAACATTACAGGGATTTCCTCCCGTGCGCTCTAAGAATTAAACAAAAATGAATGACTTTAGTCCCGTGCTATAAAATGTACTATAATGGTTCGAAGCTCTATGGCTATCATCATTGACCAGCGTTATCACCAATTTCTGATTTGAGGTTGCAATTGAGTGGTTAGGGTGGAAGTTACCACAATACATCTTGATCTATTTCAACTTTGAAGCCTTCATTTATAGTAATCCCGAACTATTAGATATAATATGTAAAATATATCATTGAAGAATATCAATTATTTGGCAATGGTTCCGCAGAAATATCCCCAACATCCGTGATTTCATTCATGAATCCATGTTTGGCGTTTAAGATTTTTGGCGAATACGTTTAATGATTTATGAATGAATCGCAGTGTGTCTATCTGTGAGTATCGACTAGCCCGGGGGTTTGGGATATGAAGAAATACAGGGTGTTCCTGGACCGCCTCTTTTCCTCTCGGGAATGTATAGATGGGGCCAAAATTTCACCAGTACCTCATATAACTTTTTTTCTAAAATCCTTCGTTACCAAGGTACGGGCCTAGGAACTATACTGTTTGTTTATGACATTATTTCAGCATGTTTTGTATTTTTATTAAATGTTGTTGAATTGATATTATCATAATAATTATTTTTGCTTCGAAAATTTTTCATTTCAAATAATAGTAGTCGATCGGGTTTCAACCCGTATATCTTTGTTGTCATTCCCGCTAGACCCTAAGTGTGATGGATCGATGGAATCAGCTCTGCAGGGAGAATCTGAAAATGGAATGATAAACAGGGTAATGGAATGATATACAGTTGAAACAGTCGTCGAACAGAAGTGAATTTTTATCAAAAATCGTTGATCCGATCGTTTTTCCACACGAGTATGTTTATTCAGGAAATTTTCCAAGTAACCTTGTTTTGTTAAAAATATTGAAAATACCTGTCATTTTAAAGTTTTGGGATGTGGACCATCGGGAGTAGTCCGTTCCTGACTTTGCAGCAAAACAACTGACTCCTGCATAAAAGCTTTCCGAAGTTGGATGTTTCTGAATATTCACTTTGAAAGTTATAAAAAAAACATTTTTCTTTTGTAACTTGGTAACGAAGGATTTTAGGAAAAGAAAGTTATATGAAGTACTGGTGATATTTTGAAACCATCTATACAGGTTGAGTGTGAGAGAGTGTACCAAAGCACCAAGCAATTCCTACGATTTTTTTTTTTCATAATTGAGAAGCAACTCATCAAAACGGGTTATGTCCACTATTGGATAAAACTGAGAGACCGATACACTTCGGTCTGCGTAATTTTTTTTCAAACAGACTTGTTCATTGAACAAAACAGCTTATCAACAACGCAGTGTATATGCTCCTTTCACGCAAGCATTCGTTCCATCGCCTAGCAACAACCGTGAAAAAAAGTGTGCTTTTTTCAACACTTTTCAGTTAAATAATGAAACAGCATTTTGATATTGAAACACTTTAGGCACACAAAATATATTGAAAAAGTGCGTTTATTTACAGTTGTAGGAAGAGTTATTTTCCAGATCTCATCCAGTATACCTTTTAGTTTGACACATAATATCAACGCCACGATATATGATTTAGTTAAAAACAGATTTCCCTCCCCACTGAAAAATCAATTCAATGGCACACAATGCGTTTTGATGAGTTGCTCCTCAATTAGAAAATTGCATACTAATCGCTCCTAAGAAGAAGCGATAAACTCCGGGGCCAATCAATTCCCGCTGGTTATCCATTCATCGGCTTACTGTCAATACCTCGTAATTTGAACGACTCAGTTTAATTTTTTGAGGCTCATCCTCCTTTGTAAAGGTACCTGCTCATCATCAACATTCTGAAAAGATTTATATTCTCAACGTTCAAATAAATGACATACGAAGTATTTACAAAAATAAAATGAACATTATTCAGACTGAATTGGTTTTGATCAATTACTAGTGAGAATTGTCATTTAGTTTGGCCTTGCTTCACAGTGCTTGTAGCAAATCAGCGGCAGTTTTGAAACAATGAGAAATATGGGTTCAAAAATGATGTACCGAAATATTTCAATGAATGTCTTCATTTGGAATGAACAGAATAAAATTCAACAAATATCCAGAACGATGCTAATGGAATACATCTTCTCAAAAGCTCTTAAGTCCTCTACTAGATAGATAATATACAGATCAAAACCTCGTAAGTCTATCCACATGAGGAATCAAAACAAGATTGTCCTTCGCATCACTGCAGAAATATTCGAGATATAGAGATTTATAATTTATCAACAAGCACAACTTAACCCTATCGTCTCTCTTGCAGAGTTACGAGTTTTTGAGCACAAAATTTCTGCGAGTAGAGTTAGGTTTAGATTATATCTAATAAATGTCGCTACCATAAACATAGATTTACAATGATTTGTTGATGGGTGCGCTGAATTTCGTAGATGGTGAAAATGTTCAAACCTAAAATTCCCTAGAATTCGGACTTAGGAGGTTTTGATAGTAAGCCGACGCATTGTTATTCAGCCTGATGCGTACCCGTTCACGTAAGCCGCCGAGTTGACGTATGAGCTGCCGCTCGGCGACCCACCCGCATCCGCCCTACGATCCGCCGTCGAATAATAGTGCTGCAGCGACGCCGAGCAGTTCTCCCAGCAGGCCGCGGGCGTTCCAGACCGGCTCCGCGGCATGGGCAGGCTCTCGTCGCTTCTGCGCTCGCGCAGCGACATCGACCTCCCGGGCAGCGTCCGCAGCGCGTGCGCGTACTCGCCGTTCGGCTGCTCCGCGCTCGGCCTGCCCTCGTCCGCGGCGGCGGGCAGCCGGCGGCTGATCCGCTTCTCGGCCTTGGCCATCGCCGTGATGGCGGCGAACTTCTTGAGGAGGGTGTAGCGTCGGAAGGCGCGCTGGATGGTGAGGGCGGCGCTGCGGGCTCGGTCGCCGCCGTATTTGCGCTCGAGAACCTCGATTTGCTTGTCGAGGATGTCTTGGGAGAGTTCGTATCTGGAAGGGAAACTTTGGCGTGAAAAATAGTAATTTTTTTGTGGCGGGAAATAAGTTTTAAATTGCATCTCTGTTCACAGGTTATAAAATGTCACTTTTCGTAAAGTACTTTTTTCCTGGATACACAGGGTGTTGCGAAATTCGACCGACAACGCTTGACAGGTGATAGCTTTCGTGATTTCATATTTACTGAGATAGGGACATATGGTACCTCAAGTGTTCAGTTCTCGAGATACAGGGCGTTAAAGTTGAGAAATAATAATAGTTTTTTCGCAAAATTTATTGAATACTTCACATTCAAATTCGGTATATGGTTCCATCTTTCAATGATGCATTTTCTGAAAAGAAAGACATTCCAAGAATTTCATCCAGAGGTGCACTACAGGGGGTTGTGATAACTTTTGCTCCCATATTTTCCACGCCACTGATGAAATTCCGATTATTTCCAATTTCTCGAATCAATTGTTAAATAATGTTGAAAAAATGCATCACCTTTAATTGAGCTAAAATGAACAGTTCTAGAGATATTTGATCCAAAATAGAAGTTTGCATAGTCATTTTTCATATTCCTCAGTATTAGAAAATTACAAAAATATTTGTTTTCTTCTCTTTATGCATGGAACAACTATTTCTGTTCAGCTACAGAATGAGATCTGAATAGTATCTAATCTACTCAACAACAGAAAAATATTTTTGTAATTTTCTACTACTGAAAATTATGAAATATTACTATGCTATCTCCTATTTTGGCTGGAACATCTCGAAAACTGTTTATTTTAGCTCAGATGAAGTTGATGCATTTTTTGAACAAAATTGAACAATGAATTCGAGGAATTGGAAATAATCGAAATTTCATCAGTGGCGTAGAAAATATGGGAGGAAAAGAAACCACAACCTCCTGTAGGGCACCCCTGGATGAAATGTCCGGAATGGTTTCCTGGTCAAAAAATGACCAATTCAAATATGAAACCATATACCGAATTTGAATGCATTAAATTCGATTATTCTTGAGTTATTGCGAAAAAACTATTTCTATTTCTAAACTTCAACGCCCTGTATCTCGAGAACTGAATACTTGAGGACCGTATGTCCCTATCTCAGTGATTATGAAATCACGAGGGCTATCACTTGTCAAGCGTTGTCGGTCGAATTTCGCAACACCCTGTATATATATACTGCTGTTGTGCTATAGTTCCCAAAAATAAGCCGATAACAGCGTCTTGGAACCAATGTTGATTTTAATTTGACTCCTAACGCGCGATAGTGACAGTGACAGTATCTCAATAGTTTACACTGCCTGCCATTTTTTGTTCATTGTGATCATACTTTTAATGTTAGGAAGCCAGTAACGGTACATGAAGAGTAAGAGGTGTATTTATTTTATTTATCAATTATCTGAAAATGTTAATAAATATGACAAGAGTTATCAAGATTTTTTCCCTTAGCCAATCATTGTTATGTTACACTATAAAACTCCAGTTTAATATAAACTATTTAGAAGCCGTCACACCTATGTATATAATGTGTAACAAGCGTTCGCAAATTTTAACATCGGTGTCGACATCAGTTAGTACGTAAGCAGGTAAGTATGAAATGAATATTTTAGACGAATTGGTTTCAGATTAGACTGGATTGGTGTAAGATAGCACAGATTCCTGAGGATCGGACGGGATTGGTGAACATTAGTGAAAATTTGACTAAAACAGACCGGATTTGTGAGGACTGGTAGAGATTGGACCATATACCAAATTGTTCAGGACATGACATCGAAAAATTCGGAAGAGCGATAGGTATACTCGAGGATACACTGCAACGAATAGCTGGCAAAACTTGATATAAAAAGAGTACATACATGAATAGTTTGCAAACACGTTTACGTGACATAGTGGATATTTTATATGTAAACTACCTCGAAACATTGTTCTTGTTTCCTGCTTAGATGTGCGATATCATAGTTACAGGGTGTCCCGAATCCCGGAAGTGCATAGAATGATTTCAACCACAGATTTTAGGAACAAAAATAGTAGAAAAAAGTTTATGCAAAACATGGCTTCCGAAATGCCCCCCTGGGGGGTTATAGCTATATCCATCTAAATGAGATTATGAGATTAATGTGAATATGTTCTGAACCCTCTGTGATAAAATAACCACATTTTGTACATATAGCTAACTTTTATGCACGATTTGAGAATCAAGCATTTTCCGAAAATTTGATCAGGGGCGTGAGGAATAGCACTTTTCCTTCCAACTATTTTGTTTGTGTAATTTTCGGCGTTTGACCAGGAAATATGGAAATCCCAACATGTTTACTTATAAATGGTTCTCTTGTTTAGTTTCGAATGCATTCACCATTTTCGAGATTAATTGATGTTCAAATTCTGCTGAAATTATGCTTTGATGGAAAATTCCCCTTCTTTCAACATCTACTTTTGATTTTTTCATTTGAAATATGGAGGTGCAATAAAAAGAAAAAAATAGTTACTCCATTGAGAAGAGGTTATGATTTTATTAAACAGCAGATTTTTTGCGAAGAAAAAAATATAAAATTTTTATATTTCTTGGCCAAACTGCCAAATAATATAAACAAAATTAAAATTTCGGCAAATTCATAACATTTTCAAATTGGGCATAAAAAGTTAGGCACATGTACAAAATTTGGATGTTTTATCACAGAGGGTTTCGAAAATATTCACAACAAACCATCTCGATATCTCATTCAGATAATTCCCCAGGGGGCCATTTCTGAACACATGTTTTTTTATAAACTTTTTTGACAATTTTCGTTCATCGAATTTGCAGTTGAAAATTGGAATATATCTATGTTACCTAGGACACCCTATATTTGGATGTAATTGTTCCTACAAATCATAAAAATTGAAAAGGTTCTGGTCAATATGCCTTAAATGCGTTTGTATGTGTCTATGTGTACATTTGATGTTGTTGGTTTTGATTTCTACTGTTTGAGTGCCGTGTATAATCATTTGCATAAAGAAGGATGAACTCACTGCATATTCACACATAAGTGATAGATCAAGGATGTTTCAGAATACCTGCCTGTTACATGTCAGTTCATTAACTGATTCAATAATAGAACAGTTTTATGTTTTGATAATTTAACAATGATTCTGCAAAATATGTGTTTATTTTCATGTGTTTCATCAATGATGTTACATTATACGTTTTCCGACGACCTAATAAAACAGTTTTCCGACGACTTATAAAACAGCACGACATGATACGTATTTCGCACTAGTGCGAAATGAAAATGTTCCCAAAGCACAAATCCTATATTGAATGGCGAATTGGCGAACACACCTACCCTAATTTGAACTGAATTTATATAGGCAGCTATGACAATAATGAATCTACAAATCAGTTGATGAGAGTGTCAGTTTCTACACATTGTTATAGTATCTAGTTCAAATTGAATTCAATTACATGATATTTATAAAGTGAATATCAACTTATAAGTTGAACAAAGTTTTCTTGATTCTGAAAAAAAAACATGGAATTTTCATCCGACGATGAAATGTTAGATTCTACTACCCCAGAAATCCAGGAATTAGCAAATAGAAACAACAGAAGGATTGCTTCCAGAGTAATCAAAACACAAGTATGATGTTCCGTATAATGATTTCATTGCATGGAAAGAAAAAACAATGTGAGAAGCTTCTCCAAGATAGTATTATTGGCCTACATTGGAGAATTGGGAAATATGTATGAGCCAAATACTCTCTGGTCAATTTATTCTATGATAAAAACATCATTAATTGCTAAGCATAATGTGAACATTGGGAATTACCTGAAATTGAAAGCAGTATTGAAAAGACGTTCAGTCGGGAACGAACCGAAAAAATCAAATACTTTATTTCCCCAACAAATTAAGCAATGTATGGATACAGCTCCGAATGAGAGACATCTGCTAATCAGGTAGGTCGTCGGAAAAGTATAGTGTAAAACTCGTGCGGAAACAGGTTATTTCATACTCGTGTGACAATGTGATGAACTCGTATGAAATAACTTATTTTTCGCACTAGTTGTACAATATACTATTGCTTCTAAAGGGCGCCATATATGAAACTTTTTTTCGGCGTAAATGCGTATTCAATTTCTTTGTTCTGCAAGTTGGCGCTATTTGTGTAGAGAAATATAGAAGACACATCCTTTCAACAAAAAATAAATTATACTTATTATCAATCCGAAAACTTGACAAATTTCGAAGTTATCTAACTTATAGGGATCAATTGCAAATATTTTGTAATACAGGTTCTTATGAAGAAATCAGGTGTGGCAGATTTTGCCTTCATTTCATCCCAAATGGGAATATCTGTCTTGGAGTGTTGCTTTAACGCCCCGTGGGTATCAAATGCACGTTGGGTCAGGATCGCACCAGATAGCACCAGAATGCCATCTGGGGACACCCCTGCACTCGAAACCGACCTGTAGGTAGTCAAGTGCTCCTGAACAATTTGAGCACAACTCAGCATTCAGAAAAGAAACACTTGCAACTGTATTCGTCTATATGAATCGTTGCATAGATTTCGGGAGGATATAATTCAATGTTCTGCGTGGCATATAGCCAGAAAAACAGTTGTTTTTCTCTCGTTATCAACCATTTTCGTTCATTTTATGAACTATTGTGGTAATGACTTTGAGCTTCTTCCTCTTTGAGAGTGATTTATATCATATTTCATCGTGTTATAAACTACTCAACACTAATTTCGTCGCACACCAAAATGTCGCCCCTGTTATAATGTGAATAACTTTTTTCAGTTTAGAACAATTTGAATTTGGTTCACACTGTTCGATAGCCCAGTCCATCAGCTATAATCTCGTATTTAATTGAAACATAAGGGTATTCACATAAAATCTCTACATGGTGTTTTCCGACACTGTGCAAAATGTCGGAATATTCAAAAGGCTCTCAAATGGTGAAAAATTTTTGTTTCTCAACTTCAACAACAGAGGCATGAAGATGATCTAATTACCTCGGGATGTTTCGCGAATCAACTTCCTATTTCTCTTATTTACAGAGTGATCTCAAAAAATCAACTTTTTGGTTTTGCAGTCATAACTTTTTTCCACGTCAACCTATTTCAGAAATCTTAGGCTCATTTTGAAGGTAAAACTTCAGATGAAGAGATCTGAATATCAGAATTGACTCAAGATGGTTATCAGAGATCTAGAGTTTTCTTGAAAGTGACCCAAATCTGGAACGCCCTCCGAATCTCGGTTGGGAGGAGAATTGAATGAAAATCAACTTGTTCTCGGAAAAACAATTCATTCTGGATGCGTCCATATTTTCCTCGCTCTCACTAGTCAAGAATTGTGCGTGAGAAAACACAATTGAAACATGTTCTTGCAAAAACATCAGACCATTTCTCATCTGTAATGCATGGCCCGTAACCAACGTTACAAGAATCACAATGGACTGACAAACCCGACCAGCTAAGGCTCATCATAAATGATGTACCAACAACCCTATGCGGTCTCGCATTGTCATCAACGAGAACAATGTTGTCACCCACATTCGCGTTAGATGCGGCATCGAAACTATCGAAATCTGTTTATGATTCGAAAACGACGTCTAACCTGACTTGTCAGTCACTTACTGTGATTCTTGTAACGTTGGTTACGGGCCATGCATTACAGATGAGAAATGATCTGATGTTTCTGCAAGAACATGTTTCAATTGTGTTTTCTCACGCACTTTCTTGACTACTGAGAGCGAGGAAAATATGGACGCATCCAGAATAAATTGTTTTTCCGAGAACAAGTTGATTTTCATTCAATTCTCCTCCCAATCGAGATTCGGAGGGCGTTCTAGATTTTGGCCACTTTCAAGAAAACTCTAGATCTCTGATAACCATCTTGAGTCAATTCTGATATTCAGCTCTCTGCATCTGAAGTTTTATCTTCAAAATGAGCCTAAGATTTCTAAAATCGGTTGACGTGGAAAAAAGTTATGACTGCAAAACCAAAAAGTTGATTTTTTGAGATCACTCTGTAAATAAGAGAGATAGGAAGTTGATTCGCGAAACATCCCGAGGTAATGAGATCATCTTCATGCCTCTGTTGTCGAAGTTGAGAAACAAAAATTTTTCACCATTTGAGAGCCTTTTGAATATTCCGACATTTTGCACAGTGTCGGAAAACACCATGTAGAGATTTTATGTGAATACCCTTATGTTTCAATTAAATACGAGATTATAGCTGAAGGACTGGGCTATCGAACAGTGTGAACCAAATTCAAATTGTTCTAAACTGAAAAAAGTTATTCACATTATAACAGGGGCGACATTTTGGTGTGCGACGAAATTAGTGTTGAGTAGTTTAGATAAATAATATCCAATGATGATAATTATAGTACGCCCATGATGCTCGTTGCCTGACATTTGACTGAAGTGTTGTGTGTTTATGTGTTTTGTGTTCTGTGAATGAAGGTGAGTAGAAAGACTGTCATGCGCACATCAATAAAAGTCTCGTACGGGGTATCTTTCGCCTCCATTTTCTTGGAATCGTCCTCTTCTCGGAAGAACTTTGTCGTGAAAACATGTATTCTTGCAGTAAGCAATAAACTTTAAAAATAATACCTCATTTTTATTGATGTTTGGTATTAAAAAATATGCTACAGGAAGCAATAACATCAGGTTGGATGTAGGGATCGACCGATATAGAAATTTTAGCCGATACCGATAATCGGCCGATACCGATATTTCACATACCGATATATCGGCCTATCGGCCGTTAACAAGTTTTCTCTGAATCTGGTAATATTTATGATGCAAAACGTAGCAGGCTAACTCCAGATAGGGCAGAAAGCTTATTGTTTTTGCATCACAGCCTGGTGAAATAATTTTACCTTACAGTTGCAATCCGCATAGGGTATTATTTTATTAATTTTTAATTACTAGTCAAAGAATTTAGTTGCTTTTACGTTACATAATTTTTATTGGTAATAAAGATATATTTTTGATGGAAGTGTATTTTTTTCATTCATTTTTCAAATTGGTTTTTTCTCCCAAAAATAAATATATCGGTCTATCGGTTTTTGATATCGGCCGATAAGATAATCGGCCAATGAGGCCGATATCACCGATAGGCCGATATAAATATCGGTATCGATCGATCCCTAGTTGGATGTATTTATTCACAAAATATCTCATCTCACATTACAATACAACTCAGAAGTTCAACGTTCGTGAACTCAAAACAGAATAACAAAAATCACAATCGTTCGACTGAGAGCAACCGATGAGACCTCGTGGACCGAAACAGTACCGCCCGAAAACCCGAAAAATACTCACGTCGTCTGCACCCTGGACCTCTTAAGTACATCGCCGTTCCTCAGCGAGCCCTTCTTGTGCAACTGCGTGACGGATACGTATCCAGAGGCGTTAGGCGACGTCCTGCAGTACATCTGACTAGGAGGCGTGTTGTAGTTTTGGGACTGCAGGAAGTTGGGCGCCTGTATGTAAGTCTGTTCCTGCGCCTGGTCCGAGGAGCTCGGACTGCTGTTCATCTGGGAAGTGTCCATTTTCGGTGGAAAGCTGGAACGAAAAAGATTCATGTTATTTTTATCAATGTATATACCTATACCGTCTGTACAAAAGTGATTCATATTTATGTGCACATTTGGATCGAAAGATCTGGATTAAATTGTATGTGGTGTTTGACTAGGAGCCCTTGTTCTTCGTATTCTGAGTGTTGGACAAAATTATAGCACTTGTCTACGTCTCGGAATAGAGTTTAATACTTTAGTGGGTCAGTATGAGCGAGCCGAGTGAATTTTACATCAAGTTTAGACGGTATGATTTTGGTTTGTTCATGACGAGAATTAAAAATATTGCCCATATCAGAAGGGGTGAAAGAACTTACAGTCACAACTCCACTCCACACACACACACACATATATATATATATATATATATATATATATACAGGGTGTGAATCGAGGTGGGAATAAATAATTGCGAAAAATTTCTTGCTTTGTCTTTGAGTTACATCAAGATTTATTTTCTTTGCACCTTCTAACGGAATTTTTTCTCTCTCTCTTAGTTCTGAGATTCAATTTTTGGACAGTTATATCATTATTTTTGAACAAGGAAAAAGCCAAGTACCCAAAGTGGAATGCAATGGTCACAAAGAAAGAAACTCAAGTCATTACCACAATGGTTTATAACATTTCTCTCTTTGTGACCATTGCATTCCACTTTGAGTATTTGGCTTTTTCCTAGTTGAAAATACGCCAGTCGGGCAACTAGCCACTCCCATTTCACCTGGAATGGGATCTTGTTTTAGAGTATTTGTTTCCTTGCCAGGTGGCGTTCGGCGTTCGCGTTCATTTCGCGAACGTTGAACGCCTCGTGGGGTATAAATGCTGTGATGCGTTTACGTTGGGTCAGGTACGCACCAGATAGCGGTCAAGAATGCTATCTGGGACAGCCCTGCACTGATGAGAGCCAACAGCACGAAACCGGTCTGCAGGTAGTCAAGCTTTCCTGAACCCCTTAGGCGCAGTTCGGCGTTAAGGAAGAAAACACTTGCGATTTTATTTTTTTTATCGCTTGGAGCGCACGGAAGGGAATCCCTATAATGTTCAAAGAACATCGTGCGTTCCTATTGAGGATAGGGACAGGAGGTAGGTATTGGAATTTTTTTTGAACTTCTGGAGATTATATGTTGTTGGGAATACTTCCACAGGCAATGAATTCCAGAGCCTAGCCGTTCTATAGATGAATGAGTCTTGATAAAGTGCTGTTCGACATCTTTCGAGGTTGACAACGAAAGGATGTGCTGACTGGGCTTGTCTAGTTCGTCTGATTGGTATTGCTAGTGAAGGGACGATAGCAGAGATTTCCGAAGAACATTTCCCGTGAAAGTATCGATAGAAAAGTGAAAGGTCGCCGACCTTTCTACGGTGTTCCAATGATGTCAAAGAGTGAGTGAGTGTGGCGTCACCCACCAGGCGAATGGCTCTTCTCTGGATGGAATCTAAGAGCATCAGCGTATGTTTTGGTGCTGAACCCCATATGTGGGAACAGTATTCTAGAACAGGCCGTATCTGCGCTTTGTAAATCATGAGAAGCTGTTGAGGTGTAAAGTAGCTTTTCGCACGGAACAAGAATCCGAGTTTGGTCAATACGAATTATTGCATTGATTTCAGGAGGATGCAATCCAATGTTCTGCGTGGCATATAGTCAGGAAAGTAGTGGTTTTTCTCTCGTTATCTGTTATGTTCGTTCATTTTATGAACTATTGTGGTAATGCGTTTCTCTCTTTGTTTGTATTATTTTCAATTATATTTTGACTTATCTAAAAACGGGTTTGTTGTTCGAATGAAATTAGTCATTAAATAAACCATTTCAATCAGGGTTGGAACGAATTAATTCATATGAATTAAGCGAGTAAGTACTTAAATGCCATTTTCAATACATTGAGCAAGCTTAGATAAGCTCTCATGTACTTCAAGTACTAGTGAGTATTCAGAATATGCTTTAAATACTTCAATACTCATTTTGGGCAATTGTTTCCCCCTCGGAATCAAGTCAACGATTCAATTCATGAATTAATTTTGTTTTCAATCATAAGTTAACTAAAACTTTCTCCGCAATGAATACGAATCGCATCATTCACTTACCTTTAATTTAGTTTCAACTGAAAAATCTGAGGATTATGGCAATCTGGCCAGCATCAACATTTGACAACCGTGAAGCACCCACTGGCGAAAAACTATTTTTTTTTCACCAGTAGCTATAAAACCTACCTTTATTTACTCCTTTGCGAGGCGTAAAATATGTTTTTACTAATAAGGTAGTCATAATAGGTTCATATTTCAGTTTTACAGAACTAAAATGATCGAAATGTATTGCTAATGGTGAAAAAATTTAATATAGACCTTGGTTGAAGCTTCGGGATATAATGTTGTTGATGGGTAATGATTTATTCAATCAATACTGTGAGATTCTTTTACAAAAATTGCATGTTTTGTATTTTCATGCTCTAAGATTTTTTAAGATAATAAAAAGTTGTATTTTAGTAACGTTTTTCGTATTTTGGTTAGGTAATTGGAATTCGATTTTTTTTCAATTAATTGAAAAAGTAGGGCTTTTTTAACTTTTTCGTGAATTTCTTGGCTTTTTCCAACCCTGATTTCAGTCAAGAAAACGGGTTTATTAGAGCAGCAATTGTATTATAGGAGCGGAATAGTCTTTGTCATTCAACCAATTAAAGCTATTGAATTGAATCAATGAGAAAAATAAAATCATTTTGTCGTGGGGATATGACATCCAGATTTTGTTAAATTCACGAAATTTTGGTTAGTATTATCTTGGTCATTTGGAAAAATGCTAGAGAGTTCATGGCTTTCTAGATCGAAAACATGCGGGTGTGCTTTGACAAATGAAACATGAGTTATGCTATAAGGTATTAATGGACTGAGAGAATTACGAAGATTTCTAAAATGTTATCATATACCTTCAGGATGTCATAGGGATATCCAAAAAAATCGGGAGTTATTTATTTTTCAAATATGTCAAAAAGTGCCGCCTAGTGCGTATATTCAACGTTCCAAATTTCACAAATATAGCTAGAGAAACAAAGAAGATACATTTCTCAAAGAAACAATACCGATATTTTCATTTAAAGAGACAAGGAGAGATAATCCCAAAAATTAAAAAAAAAAACTGAATATTCCACCTCCTCGATTAACAGTATATTTGGAGACTTGACAACATTGTTGGCATGTGCAACATCAATTATCCACAAATTGTTTTAAGTAGACTATAATATGCAATGATTTTTACCACCAATGCATCACATAATTTGCATCAAAAACTCATTTTAATTACCTACCTGGTGGAAAAAAATAATTGATGACATAATAAGACAATTTTGATTCAAGATTATTTTAATTAGTGGTTGCAAGATGCAATATACATGATAAAAATTGACGAACATTAATATATACAGAAAGAAATAGTACTCAGAATATAATATTTACTATTTCCCGCCATAGGTACGTTGACCGAACCCTAAATTTAATTTAGCCTTACAAACTAAATATTTACAACATGCACTTATGAACAAATTCCGTACGATTTCCCCAAGGTCATTCTCAAATTTTGGGGTGTACGTGTTGACCAATTAGAATCCATTCGTCAAGAGAACTTCGAATGATTTCCAGAGATATTTGAAATATCAAAAGACACTGTCAACTTTAATTGACGGATTTACAAAATTACCTCATATAGAGATTTATTATTCAAATGCAGGAAAAAGCCAAATACTCAAAGTGGAATGCAGTAGTCACAAAGAGAGAAACTCAAAGTCATTACCACAATAGTTCCAAAAATGAGCGAAGATGGTAGATGAGAGAAAAACAACTACTTTCTACGCAATAATTGTGTTTCCTTCCTAAACGCCAAGCTGCGCTCAAGTGGTTCAGGAACGCATGACTCTCTGCAGACCGGTTTCGAGCTGTTGGCTCTCATCAGATAGGCTGTCCCAGATAGCTTCTTGACTGCTATCTGGTGCGAACCTGATCCAACAGAAACGCATCTCAGCATTTATACACCACGAGGCGTACAACGTCCGCGAAGGAAGGAAACACTCCAAAACAATATCCCATTTCAGGTGAAATGGGAGTGGCTGGTTGCCCGACTGGCGTATTTTTAACTAGGAAAACTAGCCAAATACTCAAAGTGGAATGCAATGGTCACAATGGGCGTGTACACCTTAGTAGAACTTTTAACTCAAACTATGTTTATAATGATTCTTTTATACATAAATAATGATTGACGACATAACTAGGTCATGCGGTACATAACCCTCCAATAGGTATACACCTCATAGAGAGCTTCTTGAAACTGCATGTGAAAAGGCAATACTTCTCTATTTGCGATAGAAAATAAGCTTACGCCACCTATCGGAGTTCTTGAAAGTTGTCAAAGCGGCCTGTTCACTTTATTTTCATTGGTTGACATTCGTTTTTGCATGTTTGTGCAAGTGCAAGTGTTCAAGTTATTGCCATCAGGTGGGGGTAACATGTTAATTTCTATCACGAATCCAGATCTTTATTTATAACGTTGTCAGCAATCTAATTGACTGTGCAGATTTATTGGAAAAACTGAATTTTATTATGCCGAGATAATATTCCACAAATTTTGATACATCCTACTCAGAATTTCCATGAACCAACATAATATATGAAAATTCACCTGTACGTATGTACGTACAACTCCTGCAAAATACATTTCAGGCTTTTATACAGGGTGTCCCACGACGAATAAGACAGGAAATATCTCGGAACTCAAGAGTGCCTACAGTATAAAATTGTAATTTTGGGGTTGTGAATTTGAGCAATTGGGGCAGTTTTTCTGATATTTTTTACCTAATACCTTTTATTTTCGATCACGTGATATCAGATTCAAAATTCGAAAGATTCCAACAAACGTTTGAAACGGAGCAATTGCCAAATTAATTGAGTTTAGGGTCAACCTATACAGGGTATATCTGAATGACACCGAAAAAATTCAAATTCTAGCACATAGAGTTCATA